CTGCTGCAGACGTTGCCGTGTAACTTCCGTGTAAAACATGAGAAATGCGACACTGCTTGAAATTGTTCAGCAGAGTTGTATATGTGATTTTTGTCGCACCGTTTCCAAAGGAACGGACGTTGACAGCAAAGGACAGCTGAGAGCAGCGCTTTGCTGCGGCCCTTGCATGGAGTGCAGGACCGTTAGGAGATTGACCGCTCCAATTCCGCTGGAATGAGGTCAAAAGCCGAAGCGATTTAATGCTGAACAGGACATCAGCTGTCAGGCCGATCTGGAACCGTTGAACCCTTTAGACAGACCGACCCTTTAGATCCATCGCCCTTGACCGGCGATTCCGTTGACCGCGAATGCGACGCCCACGGCCCGTGCTGAGAATCCTTGGATGAGTTGGTGGAGATCGCCAAGCGCGCCGTGACCTGGGTCCTCACTCCGGTGCCTCGGCGACCGCCACCGTCGTCACGCGGCGTCACGCGACTGACCGGTGAGGGGAAAAGCACACGAGGTGACGTGGGGCTGCGAGTTGCCGGCACTCGCCTTTGTTGCTTCGAAAAGTAAAGAAACAACATCATAGAATATCAATAGAATATCAATAAAATCATAACATAAACATTAATGTTCTGTCAGTCTGTTCCGTCGTTTCTTCGTTGAATGCCCTCCGTTTCCTTTGACTCGTCCTCTGTCGGTCAGGAAGCGGTGTGCATCACAGCAGCCACCCTGCAGCCCAAGGAGATGCAGATGAAATTTGGCCGCTCGGAGAACGTAGATGAGGATGTGTGGATGACTGGTGATGGCTAGTCAGCTAGTCATAAATTGATCGTTGAGCTTTTAACCAATCTTTTCTACAGCAAACTCTGGTGAGTTTGCTGTCGCGCGAGCCAAGGCCCACGTCATGCAAGGTTACTCAAGTGTTCAACGTACATCTTGAAGATTCCATGCGTAAGCCATGCCCAAGCCATGCCCAAGTACATGTTGTTGCTGCTCACAAAGATGTCACAAAGCGTCATCCGCATCAGCTGGGAAGCTGTTGTTTGTTGCGTTGGTCGCCTGCAGTGGCGGCTTAAGCCGCCCTCCGCTTCTTGGATGTGGGAGCATTTGAAGTACGTCTTGCTGGGGAAAAGTGTTGGGTTTTCGTTGATTTGGTCAAAACTCGTTGGTGTCTTCATTGGAACTGGTGAATCCCTGTTTATTTGGGAGCTTGTGACGTGTTGGAGAGGTGATGCTGGAACTATATGGGTTGCATCAGGAACTATATGAGTAATCTTCAGGAACTATATTATATTATTCATGAACTAGTGTGTATGTCTCCATTGGAAACCAAGTGATTGCCATAGAAATTGGTGGTGAGTTACTTGTCACTGTCATCCGCTTGGATGAGGTCCTCAAGAGCAGAAGAGATGCCATGGCCGTTTGAAAGTGTAAGTCCTCCAGCTCTTCCAGGGCAATGCGCCAACTCACATTCTAGGCTAGGCTAGGCTAGTTAATAGACTCAGCATTGCATTGGCATTAGCATTTTGTATTGACAACTCGTGAGTCTCACTTGCTCACTCACCATCCAAGCAACCAGCCATGGCAATGGCCGACTGCAGTGGTGCACTTCACGTGTTGGCCGCTCATAGCAGCAACGAAGAGCCACCCGCATCCCAGCTGCAAAAACTCTACCCATCTGGTTACCCAGCCCCAAAGACCCACCCATCATGAGATGCCAACATATTAGGGCGAGGGCAACCAGTGCTCCAGAATTGAAATATGTTACATTGTTACATTATGTTGTTGTCGGCTCATTTGTTGTGGCCAGTGGTCACTTCAGACCAGCACAGATTCCAGCAGGCCTTGTCCCGGTTCAGTTCGCTCACATAAAAACCTAAGGAGGACGAAGAGGATGGAGAATCCAATTGTGACAAGGAGGACGAGGACCGATGACTCAGAGACTCAGAGCCCAGAGCTGTTGTCACAAGTTGTCACTGTTGGCACCTGGCAAGTGGCAACACAGTAAACACTGGACACTGCAGTGCACACAGCACAGCACTCATTTCTCATTCCCACATTCCCACCCTCACTGATCCAGGACCGGTCATCTTCCTGGTCGATTCTGACCTCACCAATGTCAAAGCCAGAGGACGACGACCCGATTCCAGAGATGCCGGAGAAGGCTGTTGATGATGGCGAAGGTCAAGTTGGGATGGACATGGATTTGACCATGTTCAATTGTGCAGATTTGTATGTGAAAGCTAGCAAAATAGGCAAGTTCTGCTTTTCACCACCTCTTGGCCACGACAAGCAACTCAGCTTGCGAAAAAGAACTAAAAAACACCAAATGTTGGGAATCAATTGGTTACGAGTTGTCAATTGGTTACGGTCAAAAGGTCGGTAAGTGGCACAGTATGGCCGCGAAACTGTGGTCATTCTCATATGACCTATGACTCTATGACCCTTTGACTGACCTGACCTATCACCTATTATCATGTGTATGAGTATGTGTTGTATGATTACAATTTTTCACGTGTGCGGTGTGGGTATATATTTACAATATACCCAGGATCAGGGGAACCGTATACAACGTGTGTTTTCATTCATCGTGTATTTCGTGGTCCATGCCTTCTGTCTCACGTAGGCTGTCAGGGCACGGCCTGACATTGATTGCATGTGGGGAAAGTCAAGGCGTAACGAAAACAAACGTCGCCCAACTATATCCCAAGCACTCCAAGGTATTTGCTAGCTTCAGCATGCACTGGCGCAGGGACTGCAAGCTATTGTTTGCACCTTGCATCCACGAGCGGAAGACTTGCATTGAGCGGTTGAGATTTGCGCAGTCAGTAGATACTTGAGATTCAAGATTCAAGATTCTTAAGATAGATGATTCAGGGATGAATTTGATGAAATCCAAGTTTTGCGAATTGCGCCAAACAGTTTTGCACGTTGGAGAAACTCTGTGAAAGATATTATATTGCCATTGCTTTCTGAACTTGACCTTGACCGTACCTCACCTAGGCAGGACCTGTGCGCTGCCACGGGCACTGAGTTCGAAGAGATTGTTGCTTCGGAAAACCACCGGCCGACGCAATCAATGCTCCGATCACATTATACCTGTGCCCGGGCAACAAGCAGTGCAGTGCTGTAGCTGTGGCTGTAGAAGGAAGGAGTCAGAATTGAAGCCGCGGGCCATTTGTCACAGTTGCCGTTGCCATTTCTTTTTGTAAGCGTTCCAGTTCAAGTGTTGACATTTCACTGACTCCTGACTCAGTGACTCAAATGATGACTTATAACCGTATGAATTATCTATAAATTGTAGACTGTAGACTGTAGACCGTAGACCCATTTCCATTTCCATTTCCAACACCGGCTGATTCAACTAATCACAGTTCATCAATTTCATGTTCAAATCCACACGCACACACACCTTACACCAGTCCCTGTGTTGCGGAGTTTCTGTTTGATGTCATCCTTCTCATGAGGCGACCACATATTCAATGACTGTGCTGGTGGACACCAAGGGGGCCACTGCATTCTTCATGATCACTACTGCATGCCCCGCTCCATGAATTCTGACTCAGAGGCACGGGCCGCACCGGGAAAACCTCGTAACCTGCTTGTCAAGAATTGACACTATGACACTATGAGCAAAACCCTCAGAAACTTCTTCGACAGAAAAACGTGGGAGGGAATTCTGGCGTGAAGTTTGCCGGCTTTTTGCAGGTGAGTCAGATGAGTTTCTTTGGGGGTATATAATCTGATCTGACCTGAGTCGAGCGCAATCCTTACACGACTAGATTAGATTATGATTTGATTACTGTATTGGTAGACTACGTAGATTATAGATTAGAAATTAGATCAAATGAGTGAATCATGAACACATGGCTTCGACTTGCAGCTGCTTCTGTTTTGGGGTTGTTTTCGGACTCCTTATCGTCTCCATGTCACCATGTTAACCTTTAATGCAAAGCGCCCGCGCCTCAGGATTTCTTGGTCGCTGGCACCCCTTGCCAGCCATTTTCGAGATTGAATGGCAAGAGAATGTCACCCACATATGATCCTTTCCGTGACGACCCTGGTTCTCGCCCTACAGTGGAATTTTGTCGTCACGTCAGGGATCGCAAGCCGAAGTCTTTTCTATTGGAACAGGTAGAGGACTCAGTTTGACAGTAGTTTGCTCACACAACCACCTCCATACAAAGGATACGCTTGGATGACTCAACGACTCATATAGGTCCTAGGCTAGGGCCCTACCTCTCTGGTTGTTTCATTTCGCTTACTGGACCGGACTGTAGACTGGTCACTATGACTAGGATGCTTGGCCAGTCTGGATATACTTTGAGTCATGGATCGTGAATCATGAGCAATCCATCAGTCCATCAGTGATCATTGCAGTCGCACTTTTTGAGATCCCAAAGATTGAGTTCAGTCATCTTGGCTTTGATCGCGCAAAGGTCGTGACTTTCGATCAGCCCTGGCCTGATCATTGCTCTGGGCACTTCTTCCAGAAATACAAGGCAAGGATTGGCGGGACACAATTTGATTTATATTTATACTGTATACTGTATACTAGTTTGTTTTCATTTGCACAGCAGCCTACTGAGAATTGGGAAGAGCTGTGGCAATGAAAGGCAATGAGCAACCATTCACATATTTTCCAGATACTAAGAGCCAAGATGTATATTGCATGTCTTGTCGCACGCCTGGACGCTACGATGCAATGCCTCCACCATGCCGCTGATTTAAAGCCCGGTTGGCCAACTACCAGCCGTTGTCAACGTTAAACAAACAGAGAAGTGACGTGATGACACATTTTAAGTACATTGCAAGTTTTGCCTCCCTGAAGCAGTCCAATGAGTGAATTGAACTACAGCCAGCCTTCTCAAAGAGAGGACCTCCGCGATTCGAACACTTCTCTCAACTTCTTCTAACTTCTAACTCTTATATTTTCTATTATGGACATAGTATTGCCGTTGCCTTTTGCGCAATGCCGTTGTCAGACCTATGGGACTCTCAGACCGCTGAGCCCACGCACGAAGATGGTCCTGAGACCTCCAGGCTTCGAAGGTTTGTCCGCACGTCCAAAGCCCGAGCAGCAAGTTTACTTTCCAGGCAGAGGCGGAAACTCCAAAGGATGGCGATGGCAAATTGTGATTCCACACTAGATCTGGATGTTGGCGCTCAGCGTGTTTTTCAACAGAAGTTCCTGGCGTCCTCTACCACACAGTGGGACCCCCTTGAAGACACAGGGAGTGCCAAGCTGATACACCACTTTGATGACTCCAATGGAAGACGGAGGGCCGTCTGTACATACCTGAAGGCTTTTGCAACTGGAGTGCGACAGCTGTTTTGTGGGGATTCAGAGGCAGGCTCAGCAACTCCAAGGTCGATATCACATGTCATCAGCGTTCATACAAATGATGATACAAACATGAAGCTTGGCAGTGGTGTCCGTGGGTCATCAGAAATCAGAAGCGTCATGAACAACATCCAGGAGCACATTGTATTCTCCGGCCCTCCAGGTTCCGAGCCAGTTTGGTTTCATGTTCACCAGCCGATTGTGGCTTTGGAGCGGGCCGACACTTCTGGCCTATACCAAGCCTTCATGGCATGGGTCCTAGGCTTTACCGGGTACACAGGGTGGCGACTGCGGCCGTGGGGCCTTCCGGCCAATTTGTTCAGGAACGTTTCCTCTCACACGCATGTCTACGTGGGGGATGCACTTAAGGTGAATAATTCCGTATTCAAGTACTTCACACAGTGCGTGCGCGACCA